GAATCACGGAGGATTCAGTATCCAGGGTCCAGGACTAATCTTATCGTGTCGTTACACGAGCGTCGAGGCCGAACTCCGAATTCCGCGTTGGTAAAACAGTTAACGTTTCATCGAAAATTAGGCCGAACAGAAACTGATTTCAGCGCCACCTCAGTTATCGCATCCAACTAACAGCATGCTATTCTACGTCACTCTTCGCATACACCTAAATGACACACGGATGCTACGATAGCTATATGTATTATGTACGATGAATCAGACCAATTTTTGCGTGTCGCCGGAGAAACCACAGTTTCTCGAGCGAGTTCGGCTCGCCTTTGATGTGGTGACTGCCGAGAATCGAAGCAGCGTACAGGGAAAAAGGCAAGTTAAAATACTCGTGTACGTGTGAGACAATACTAACACAATCAAAATTTAAGATTGAAACCTTTTTATTTTTGAATTTTTTTTAATGACAATGTTATTAACGTATTTATGAGATTTTTCTGATTAAAACAAGATCAAACATGACATAATTTGAATTATAATTATTTATTTACTTATTTATATCTAAATAAGTAAACATAATGCAAATTATATGGTGTTTGGTCTTATTTTAATCAGAAGAACCTTACAATGACACTGGTAAAAGTTTCATTTAGCAAAAATGAAAAATAAAAAAGTTATTGTTGAATTAATATTGTTTCACTCAAATGTTTTTTCTCGGGCCCTTTAATTCTCGGACCTCTTGCTCTTTCGCTATTTGTTCTTTTCTACGTTCGCCAGTATTGAAGAACTCGCACGAGCTACTTCCAGCGTCACATTTTCGTTACCTATTCATCGAATATTTGGACGTAACGCAAAATCAGGAGAGTCCAGCATAATATCACATTCTATGCTGAAAAAACATACTAAGTTATTTGTCTAAAAAAATTTTTATTTTCGGGATGCTTTTCATAAGTAATCAGTATTTCACCATTCTCCTGTACAGATCGTGTATAGCAGTAGTGACTGAAATATATTAAAAATCCAGGATAGTTTGTGCTGCTGAAATGAAATATGTAAATGACTAACAATGAATAGTTTATAAAGGTGATCGCTGTTCATCTATTTCCTTTCTACGATGTACAGTAATGTTCAATATGCGAGTGAGGGAGAGACAGGGTGTATGCGAGAGAGAGAGGAAGAACGAAGTGTGAATGTTCGGTGATGAGCGGGTGAAAGCAATATTTCAAAACCATGTAGTGTCAAAAATCGACAAATAATTAAAAAAAATCACAGTAAATCATGGCCCATATGTCAAAGTAACTATTAATGAATCGATATTTCATTGTGGGTATATTTGTATAAAACCACTTTTTACCGCGTTTTGTGCCTTACGTTTCGGCCCCTCTCTCTCTCACCTTCATTGGCTGTCCCTTTCTACGTTCACGGTCGGGTGGAGCTGCATGTAAACATCGAATTGACCCGATTTGATGTTTAGGTCCCACTTCCTCTTGCATGTACCACTTTTGACTGTATATGAAATACATGTTTTCAGATCAAAAATGATGTAACGGTTTGAATGTAAGATATTTTTATTTTCATTCGCTATTCGTAACTTCGGTCAAACTGTAGAACAACTACGTCCTCGCCGATTTTGATGATTTTTGGATATGTTATAGCGACCAATATTTTGAACAATTTTTTTCTGTACATCGGTTTCGCTTAGTTTCCGAGATATTTACAAAAAACTATCGATATAACACATTGAATTCTGCCTATAGATGTGCGCCTGCGACAGCACATGCATAAGTATTGGTAGCCATTCGCTGGCCATTTGGCTTCTGTTTAGAAACGAGGGTCGAGAACGTAAAGGCTCCGTCATAACTGCATATACATACGAGACTTCGAGAAATGTGTATTCAAATTCAATTAGAAGTGAATATTATTGATGTGATCGGTTAGGTAAGGCTATATATTTAAATTCGGCTGCCGTAAAGCGGCCGACAACGTTTTTCTGAAATAATAATAAATTAATTATAAAAAGAAGTATAAAAAGAAATTGTAAGAAATGAACAAAAGCCATTATAATTTGTTATTATTTCGCGTTGCCGACCGCCTTACGGCGGCCGGATGTACATGTATACCCTAACCTAACTGATTACACCAATAACATTCACTTATAATTGAGTTTGAATAGACATATCTTGGAGTCTGGTACAGAGGTGCCCACTTAAGCGTCCACAATCGGGACCGAATACGGACGCTTAAATGGGGAGATGACTTCTGCGAATTCAACTGAAGGAAGGAGAGGAAATGAGTGCGAGTAGGATACGTATATTCTATACATGCGAATGCGGTGGTCAATTCGAACGTCATTTGTCATTCCGAATCCATGATTGTAAGGTCGTGATTCCACATACGTGAAAACTTCGATATGTGTGGAACTTCTGTTTCCAAGAACTGGTGGGGATAGCGACGGACTCTTATGTGGGCAAAAATGCGGACGCCTAACTGGGCACCTCTGTATATGCAGTTGTGAACGAAACCTTTACTCTCGCTCGACCCTCGTTTCTAAACAGAAAAGTGGCAACCAATCTGACGCATATGTATGCTGTCAGAGATCAACAACTATTGACAGCTTTTTGCAAATATCTCGGAAACTAAGCGAGACCGCTCCTTATATGTATAAGAAAAAATTGTTCAAAATATCGATTTTTCTAATATATCCAAAAATCATCGAAATCGGGAAGGAGTATTTGTTCTGTAGTTTCAGCAATAAAAGAATAATAATAGCAACAAAAAATAATGATAGTACGTCTTGTGACACATGGGTTGAAAATCGCTATCCTAGTCGATAGAACGATGCGTGACAAAAAAATTTACGCGTCGGAGTTCATCGCCTCTTCGAGACTCGAACTTCCCATTCACCACGATACATTGTATCGTCGTCGACGGTTCGATTGACGCACACATATTCACATATACGAGCTGCGAATGAGCGCGCGGTCGAGCACAGAAAACGAACAAACTGCGCCCTACAGAAAAAACGAGGAACTAAATTTGTGGTCTGTTTTACCTTTTTGACGTCTTTCGCGAGTGAAAAATCAACGAAATCGTAGTTTTCGATTTTCGTCTAAACGAAAGCTTGTACACCACCCCCCGGGGGGCTCGTTTTGCTCTATCCGACCCAAAGAATGGCGCTCTGGTCTCTATTTGAACATTCGTTTCGCAAAAATGTTTATATTACAAATAAATTAATGCAGGTGAGTCCGATCCGCCATTTTCTTGACTGTGGACAGACACAAATTTCAATATTTTGTAACTTTTTGACGATTTGGGTAAAATAAGGACCAGAGCGCCATTCTTTAGGACCTTCTGGACACGTCCCTCAAATTTTTTTGCATTCTGTTTAGAAATGACGACGAAAACCGAAAACTCGCGTCTAGGGATTTTTCTAAGGACTGTCGGTAAAGTTTTGGACGCTCGCATCGCCTTAATCTACAAATTAATCGTACTAACCTTTTTTTATTGTTCTAATCGTGAGTGATCTAACATCGTCATAAGCGATTAGGACTGGTGGCAACGCTAATACCGTTCTCAACCGCGTATTAACCACTCAGAAAGAAAAAGAAATAATAGTATAACTATAAATATATTTTTCCACAGCCGACTCTAGTACTAGCCATGCTGAACAACGTGGCAACACCGCTCACGTGACAATCGGGAGTCCTATTTTCAAAAACAGTCCTGTGCTCGGAATTGTAATTAACGTCTTTTTTAATTAAAAGCTGTAGTAATATACACTATTTTGTGTTAATTATGTATAAACAATATATAAACGTTGCAACTATGGCAAATAGAAGTGATGTGGTAGTATAAAATTGTTATAAATGTGATATATATTTTGTGTACTCTCAAAGTAGTTTGGTGTTGTGAAGCATGATATTTGAAATATTTACAGTGGTTTCAAGAAAATTTAGGTATGAAGCAAAATGAAACCATCTTTGGATCAAACTGAAACATTTAAGAATTTGTAAGGTAGGCGACAGGTGGCGACCGCGCGCACCGCGAACTCGCGAGGCAGCCGGCCTCGCGAGCATTAATATACCGGGCCGCGAGGCGATAGACGGCAGATCGACACTCGGAAGCGAGTCACTTTGACGAGCGATAAAGAGGCGATGAACTACGATTTTTGGACTCCTGCTAATTCCTCCAGCAGCGTTCGGCAGGACGGGTTGTGTCTACGGCCGTCCTCCGATACTGTCCGCTGTCTCCTTGGCCACGGCCGAGAGAGTTCCCTCTCTCGGCGGCTTCCCGACCGCCGGACCGGGCGTTACGTCTCTACGGCGTCCACCGGAGCACGGTCTTCTTACTGCCTGGGTGCAGGACGGGTTGTGTCTACGGCCGTCCACCCATGAAGGCATCTAACCATCGTTCCCGACTATCCAACTACCTCCGCCGTTTTCCGTACCGCACCGAAACGTTACAATAGGACGGCCAACATCCCGTCTCGCGACCGCGCCGTGATTGCGACCGCTCAATACCATTAGCTTTAAGCACCGCGCCGTGACTGCGACCGCTCGACACCGCTAGCTTTAAGGACCGCGCCGTGACCGCGACCGATCGATACCGTTAGCTTTAAGATCGTTAGTTGGTAAGACCGCTTAGATTGATAGGATACCCAGGGCCGTAGCTTTAAGTTAGACTGTAACCATAGAGTTAAATATATCTATTTTCACCCATATCCAACCGACTTATTCATTCGTTCGCCTGAACCCCGGACTTACCGGCTGAGCCGGCAACACCCCGGCGGTAACCCGTTACAAATTGATAAACATGTATATAAGTTAATAAAAACCTTGAAACAAGAGAAATTATTGGAACGAAACCAAAAAGGTTATGTGAAGTCCAGAGAGTAGTCGGGAGTCTGACGACGTTGATTGGCTGAGAGTCTGGGAGTCCGGGAGGCAGATAGAGTAGGGTAGGTGTTGATATATTCAGACCAGACTCCCGCGGTGTTGCCATTTTTACTTCAGCACGGCTAGTACTAGAGTCGGCTATGATTTTTCTTTTCTCTTCTCTTTTTATTTTTTACATCGCGTGCCGTATCTCGCTCGCGACGTAACATATGCAAATGTACTAGTTTGTTTTGTTTCATTAGTAGTGCATAAGTGCTTGACAATACAGAATGACATGGTGCGTAGCATTCTCATCATTGCAAAGTAATATATATCTATTTACCGCAGTAAGATGAGCATATAATAGAGTTTTATCAATATATAATTAAGTTGCAGCCAAAATCACAAGTTAGATATATTTAACATTATTTGGTAAGTAATTTTGTGTTTTAGAGGTATATTACTATCTCTGTGAAATCTATTCACATCTACCATTTCCATAGCCTCTAATTGATTTGAGCAGCTCTCATTACCTTAATTGGATGAAACGGAACAACAATACGCTTGTCTCATAACTAAGGTCAAATAGTTATTTGTAACATTTGACAGGTATAGGTTGGAGTGAAAAATATTTGCAAATTGAATGCAGCTAATTTCTTACAAGATATATCAGGAAGTATGTTTAAGGTAAAGAAATATTATACCTTATTTTTTTCAATACATTCTTCATTCCAAATTAATGTTGTTGAGTACAATGTATCAATAAATAATAATATGATTTCTTTTTCTTTATTTTCAGCATTTATTCAGACATTGATGACAAAATTATAACAAAGAATTTCTGGAGTAGAAAAGTTGAATAGATACATTAAAAATATTTTCCAGCATGGAATGAAATACTAGGACATATAACAAAAACGTACTATGCAAACAGATGCAATTACTTTCTTGCATGATATATCTGGAAATATGTTTAAAATAAAGAAATATTAAACCTTATTTTCTTCAATACATTCTTTATTCCAAATTAATGTTGTTGAGTACAGTGTATGAATATATAATAATATGATTTCTCTTTCTTTATTTTCAGCATTTATTCAGATATTGATGCGGAAATTACAATCAAAAAATTATGGAGTGGAAAAGTTGAATAGATGCATTAAAGAAATTAACCAGTGTTGAATGAAATAGTAGGACAAATAACAAAATTTTTGTTATTACATGGTTTTTATAGTCCATGATTTGGAAGACAAACTTATCTAATTTAATACTCCTCCTCTTTGGATAGTTCTGTATCTATCAAGTTTTTCTACTCCATACATTCTTTGTTATAATTTCGTCATCAATGTCTGATTAAATGCTGAAGATAAAGAAAAAGAAATCATATTATTATTTATTGATACATTGTACTCAACAACATTAATTTGAAATAAAGGATGTATTGAAGAAAATAAGGTTTGATATTTCTTTTACCTTAAACATATTTCCAGATATATCTTGCGAGATAGTAATTACAGTATTGATCCGTAATAAGCAACAGTTTTCCGGCTGGAAACATGCAAATCTCTATCCCCACCTTATCGTTTAATGTCGCCCGCAAAGTGAGAGGTTCGAGAAATGAGTGAGAAGTCCGTGAAAGCGAGAAGCCGATGTTTTGGGTAATAAATTGTCACGCTCGACTGAGCAGTGACATCGGTTAGTAGAATATTCTATCCTTGTTCAAAAAATAACATCCTTGCTCCGCCGATCACTTTATGATTTGCCGCTACCTCGGATCTCTCACTCGTTTCTCGTGTTCTCTATCGTCCCGTTTCGAGATCAAAGTCGAGCTGAATAGCATACCTGATCCGTAATAAGCAACTGGCCAGACCCGAGCGTGTTGCTTATTATGAAGCAATTCTGTACATCTTTTTTCAAGGTACGTTTTTGTTATTTGACCTAGTATTTCATTCCACACTGTTTAATTTCTTTAATGGATTTATTCAACTTTTCTACTCCATCATTTTTTGCTTATAATTTCCCCATCAATGTTTGAACAGGTACTGAAAATATAGAAAAAGAAATCATATTATTATATATTGATACATTGTACTCAACAACATTAATTTGAAATAAAGCATGTACATATTGAACAAAAGGTTTAATATTTCGTATACCTTAATCATATTTCCAGATATATCTTGCAAGAAAGTAATTGCATTTCTGTTTTGAGAACATACTTCTGTTATTTGTCCTGGTATTTTATTGGAAACTCTGTACGTTCTGTCTATCTTCTTTGATTGTAGTTTCGTTAGATCATGATAATCCCTGTAAAAGTATATAATTACATAGAAATAAGATTACTCACTTCAAGGAATTTAGTTCCACAGTTACTTTAGTGGTCAACATCAAAAGTAAGCACATACATTGTTAGATTTTACAAAACATTTTCAACAAATAGATAGAATTGTGGTCAAAACTATAATTCTAAACGAAGAAGCATAAAGCTAATTGAAGCACAAAATAACTAAAAAAATTCATTAAATGCATGCTATAAACGTGGATTAAAGTAGGAGTTTATTTCTTTTATAAATCACGATCAGATTGTGGGTGATCATCAATGACATGTCGCAGGATTCAACTTATGGGAACTTCAAACATTAAATCCCATTAAAAAAAGACCCGTTCCATGTTCATTGATTTCTCTTCAAATCTCCTTATCCTTCCTTATGAGATAAAAAATCATCATGTTTATGATGCATTTTCCTTACTATATACATACTTACATTCAAATTAATAATTAAAATATATGATACATAATATTAATATAAAAAGCCTATTCTGTCAAATATTCAATTCTTTCTGTAAAGTCTTACACTCTAACCTATACCTGTCAAACGTTACACATAACTTTTTGACCTTACTTATTAGCAGATATTGATATCTTAATAACTACCTTGTGATTATTCCTCTACTCTAACCTATACCTGTCAAACGATATGCACAATTTACTGACCGTAGTTGTTTTATTTTATGGAACAAGCGTATCGGCGATTCGTTACCCTCAATTAATGTAACGATAGCAGCTCAAATCAATTAGAGATTGTGGAAATGGAAAACCCACAAGAATTCACAATAATGCCGGATTGTCAAAAACTGGACATCTCGTTTCTTACACGATTTTGTCAAAATATATTAGAATGTTGCGCACAAACGTCGATAAAAACTCCACATACATATTAAATTTACTTTCCAATTTAATATGTAATCACATACTGCATTATATGGAATGCACACGCATTCAAATAGCATAGGAATTTGAATCGACGAACAATACCACGATCTACAGATTTCCAAAAGCAATGATATTGTAATGTTGCGAACCTCGCCTGTATGTATGTGTGCAATATCGAGTGAATTTAGCTGCAAGCTTGTAATCACAAGCATTGAATGTGTAACGTGAAACGTTATCACGTGAATATGTTTAGAGTGGTGTGGCGACACTGCCATGGGAATATTTATCGATAGTCTATTGTATCGATATGTCTTGAACGTTCTTTGAGGACCTTTGTATCGATGGTCATAAATTAAGAGCGAAATTCGAACATCGTCTATGCGTACCCTTATATAAATAGACAAAGAGTAAATTGTAAACCCCTCGACGTGGGTGATAGAGCTGAGAGAAGGCCGGAAGTCCAGAGAATGGAATAGTTTCACTTTGAAAATTCCTAAAAAACTAATTTATGATAGAACATAGCCAATTCGTTGTTTTCGACCAAGTCATGAACGGTCGTTAAGGGTTACGAAGTCATTTTCGATATCCTGTCTTTTCATGCACTCTAAGAGGGTCGTAAATTTCCTCAAGAGTTGCTTTGGCAAATACAAGGTCTTGTCGTTTCCTAATTTCTCTGGGTCCCACGCTTTCTCGTAGCACATGTGCGTTGCAACGTTCTAGCGTCTTGGCGGAGCACCTCCACTTCCACGCGCTTGAGGGTGGACCACAGCCAGGAGAAGGAGCCCACACGAGACAGGGTGGACTCCTCCACCATTGGACGAGGGATGATCCTGAGGGAGGATCCAGGATCCACCAAGGAAGGGGCATCGACCGACAACGCGCGAAGATCTCCTCCGCCAAGCGCAGAATTGTCAAAATGATTTTGTCACTCGTTACGAACAAGTCGTTCTCACTCAGAAGGGTCTAAGCCTTAATAACGCAAAGTTTAAAGTTCCGATTTAAATTGAAATACAAAGTATTAAAGTACTCTAAACAAAATTACAGTTTATTATTTTGTATATCCGCGCCTTGAGAGCGGAGCGCCTCTGCGCTCCACGGACTGTCACACCTGCACCTAAATCCCCGAATATCCCTATTTTTCCGCGACGGACACGCAACAAATGAAATGTAATTAAGGCTTAGACCCTGAGTGAGAACGACTTGTTCGTAACGAGTGACAAAATCATTCTAACAATTCTGCGCTTGGCGGAGGAGATCTTCGCGCGTTGCCGGTCGATGCCCCTTCCTTGGTGGATCCTGGATCCTCCCTCAGGATCATCCCTCGTCCAATGGTGGAGGAGTCCACCCCGTCTCGTGTGGGCCCCTTCTCCTGGCTGTGGTCCACCCTCAAGCGCGTGGAAGTGGAGGCGCTCCGCCAAGACGCTAGAACGTTGCAGCGCACATGTGCTACGAGAAAGCGTGGGACACAGAGAAATCAGGAAACGAGAAGACCTTGTACTTGCCAAAGCAACTCTTGAGGAAATTTACGACCCTCTTAGAGTGCATGAAAAGACAGGATATCGAAAAAGACTTCGTAACCCTTAAGGACCGTTCGTGACTTGGTCGAAAACAACGAATTAGCTATGGTCTATCATAAATTAGTTTTTTAGGAATTTTCCAAGTGAAACTATTCCATTCTCTGGACTTCCGGCCTTCTCTCAGCTCTATCACCCACGTCGAGGGGTTTACAATTTACTCTTTGTCTATTTATATAAGGGTATGCATAGACGATGTTTGAATTTCGCTCTTAATTTATGACCATCGATACAAAGGTCCTCGAAGAACATTCAAGACATATCGATACAATAGACTATCGATAAATATTCCCATGGCAGTGTCGCCACACCACTCTAAACATATTCACGTGATAACGTTTCACGTTACAGTGGCGACGATGCCATAAGAGTATGGTTGCAGCATGTCTGCATTATGTTATATCAATGCTCATAAATTAGGAGCCAAAATTCAAAGGAATAAACAAATAAAAGATAGGACACTGTAAACCTTTCAGCGCGGGTGATCGTGCTGGGAGAGAGTTGGAAATCCGAAAAAATAAGACTGTCACACTTGAAGTTTCTAAGAAACTAATTTATTGCGGGCCGTATCTAATTCGTTACTCTTAACGAAAATCATGTTGGTTCTTGAAACTGTCGAAGTATCTTCGACATCCTGCTTACTTACAAAGGGTCGTAAATTCTCTTAAGGGTTGCCTTGGCTCGCTAGCGCGAGACCATTTTATCTTTCGTTCTCTCTGGATCCCACGCTTTCTCTTAGCACGTGTACATGGAATCGTTCTCGAGTCTTGGTGGAGCACCACCATCTTCCACTCGCCTAAGGATGGACCGAAGCCAGGGAGAGGGACCGCTTCTGGACAGGGATGAGCTCCTCCACCATTGGGCCAGGGATGATCCTGAGAAGGGTTCAGGATCCAGCGAGGAGGGGATGGCAGCCAACATCGATCGAAGATCTTCACCGCCAAGCTCAGATCGATTCCAAGCTTCAAACCGCCTGCATACATTTTTGTCAAAGTTATAGTCACGAAATAAAGTCGTATAAATTTTTATTTCCTACGCAAAGGTGTTTTGATTTATTAAAAGCCGCGTCGCGAGCAGAGCGCTGAAGCGCTCCACGGGCACCTTACCCACGTTCGGCAAATCCTAAATTCCCTAGAACACTAAATCCACACGCAACAGTAA